ATTTTTTCTATATTTCGATTCTATGACTCAAATTATGCGTAGATATTAAATTTTGTAAAATTTGGTGTGAAATTTATGGAGAAATTCAGAAATTTATCTTGCCACAATTTTTTCAGTTTGAGCCAAGAATAATTCACTTGGCAAACTTTTTAATATATGGCAACCTATTTTCCTTTCCCTTCCATTATGCTGGAGTGGAAAAAAAGGCACTTTGTTCCTACCATTTTACATTGTGCATGAGCGGAAAAAAAGTTACATCATTCCTACTTTCAATTAATTTTAACAGAGTATCTAAACCACATTTCATGTATTACCACTTTGCAACAAATATGCCAAATTTCAAAACAAGCCAATATATAAATTAATGTGTATCTTTAGAAATTTTGAATTAAAAAAATGGTAATTTTTATAGGTATGCTTAGAAATACGTCTAGTTTAAGATGATGGTAAAAATTTTATAGATTATAATTCAAAATTTTTTTGAAAAATTTATAAAAATTATTTCAAAACACAAATTTAAAAAATAAAGTTGGTAGTTTGGTGTAATCTGAGTCGTAGAATGGAAATATGGAAAAAAAATAGCATGTCATTTCAGAAAAAGTCTGATTTTGTGTCAAAATACGTATATTAGAACATTGCTATATATAAATCTAATACATATCCTAAGTTGCACTTTCAAGACATGAAAAACGCAGGTTGAATTTTGTGAATCAGCCCAGTAGAGTGGGAGATATAGAACTGCCCCACTTTTTTTTTTTTTTTGCTCAGTTTACGTACCATGGGGATTCATCTTTTACAACACAGGGAAACCCCATCCTTGTTGCCATCAATATTACCAAAGGAATGAGATTCAAAAACGACTTCAAATATATGTATTGCATACATGCAACTGAATATGTATTTTTACCAAGTTTTTGAAATCCCTTAATTTTTAAACCATGTAAAAAAGAATCGTCTAAAACAAGTACCATGTAAATCGAGGGATAGGTGTATACAGTACAAAGTCTGTAATCCGGACTCGTCGGGACTTCGCTGATTCCGGATTAGGGGTTTTTCCGGATTATAGATCATCAATTTAAATCTGGTAAGATGGCATGTAGAAATTAAACAATTAAAAATATGAAACCGTAATTTATGAAATAAAGAGCAATTATGATCTAAAGGGTATCAAAATTTACACACACACACACAAAAAAAAGGAGCTTAATATTTATTTGTTTACTTTATTAAACATTTCTTTCAATGTAAGTTTGTTAAGTTGCTTCATTTTTTGTGCTAATACTTTCTCTTTAATTCTATAAACATTCATCATTTCTTGTTCAGTTACAAAGTTCCACTGTTCAAATCCTGTAATGTGTCGAGAATACCAACTAACTTGTCAATCAAAATTTTTTCATTTTCAATAACCTCTCTGTCACTTTCTTCACTATCGGAAGCGGTATTTTCGGGATTTAGAACCATACTACAGATTTCACCCCCTGTTAATTGATTGATGATTGGGGCATTGTTGTCGCAATGAGAAACTTCTGTTATATCATCTTCATTTATTACCACTTCTCCACATTTCTTTACAAAAATCCAATAACTGGAAACAGCAGATTTTATGCTAAAAAATTTCAAAATGTCTTGAATGGTCAATTGTTCAAGAAATTGAGCATAGGGGCACAACATAGACGTTTACGCACGAGCGTAATGCGTTACGTGCATGCGTAAACACATCACACGAATGCGTAAAGCATACAAAAACAATTTTTTTTTGCTTTGAGGTCCGGATTGTAGATCATTCCGGATAATGGACGTCCAGATTACGGACTTTGTACCGTATTAATATCATTTTAGAATTAATATCATAAATTCTAATTGGTGTAAAGTGTTCTTAGTGCTTTTTTAATGGATAATTTTTAGAAATAAAAAAAATTATTTCTCCTGGTCAGTGTACACTAAGCTGTTCATTGATCTGATTGATCAAAAGTTGTAGAAGTCTCATTTGAGATTACTTGCAAAATTCTAAATAGAACCATCATCCAGATGAAGTAATTAATTTTTGTGTTTCATAATGTATTGTTCTTTACTTCCATGGTTCTCGAATTAATTTACACTTTTTCGTTGCCCTGCGTTGGCAACACACTTGGGATTTGTCTTCGCTAGAATTTGGTTGCTAGAATGTAGCTGACCTGTAACTGTTCGAATACTTATTTTAAAACTTAACTGTGTTATTATTACTAGATGTTTATGTATGGATATTTCCTTGTTGTGTGTTTACAGTTTGGTTTTGAATATACTGAGAGTAGCTCAATTTATTAAAGTTATCTCGAATCGAAACTACTCTTTTGATTTCAGCACCATTCTAATATAGGAATGTAAACACCTGTGTTCACTGATAAGTGATTTAATTTGTCTTGTGAGTCTATATCTGTTTTAAGGGCAGAGTTCCAGTTTTTACTGTATTGTTTTCTGAACTTGTTACACTATGTTATTACATTTCTAATGTTTGTGGGTAGATTACCATCCAGGTAATTGTTGTTAGTGAGGGATGTATCTTTCTGGTTTTCCATGTAATTGTGAATTATTCTTTGGTTTCTGTTGCTGCTCTGATAGCCCCAGCCAATATGCTTAACATTTCAATCACATTCTTTGATACTGGTAACAGTCTGTCAAGTTTGATGTCAGTCAAGAGATTTTTGGTGGTTTGTATAAGGAACAAAAATTAATTTTTCCTAACTTGGGAAGCTTAACTTGTACATTTCAAAGGCTTTGGTATTGTCTGAATTTATCAAACATACTTCATAAATGCGTTTCGCATGTATGAAAATGCCACTGTCCCTATGCCATTTGTCATACCGAAATGAACTGTAGTTCGAGATTCTAAGGTTTTCTTTCGGAAGTACATGGGCTTACATAATTAACAAATGTCCACATGTTCTTTTCTGATGAAATCGTGCAGCTCGTGAATTTTTGTAGTCAAGAACTAGCATTCCATAGTATAATTTTGATTATGGTATACACATTGGGAGATTGTCTGTTCATCTTGTCTGGTTTGGCTGCAATTCTAACTGTATTGGAAACTTGAATGTCTTTAAGCATATCGAGAGCTGCAGTAAGCTGAGTTAAAACAGCTTTCACTTCTGAGAGCTTGTGTGTTAATAGTTTCTTCAGTTCCCGGGCCTCTGTTTTTGGGAGCTTTTCACAATGATGCATTCAGAACAGACTCTTTCCCTTACTATTCATCCTTGGAATTGCCGAATTTCATAGATGGAGTTTGTGATGGGATACTTCTGATGACAACTTTGAGTTTTTTTGTCATGCGTCAGGACATGGGTGTAGTACTTAATGCCCTTTTCATTGAGGAAAGCATTAATTTTTCAATGAGCTTCTGATGGGAAGAATTTAATATCAAACTGGTAGTCTCCTATCAACTTCAGAATTCTTTATCATTCAAGCAGCATTAATTAACTGCTTCCATGTAATAGCAGAGACCTGCACAGTAATGGGTAGGACTTTCAATTTTTGCATGGATACTGAAATCCGTTGTTTTCATTTGGGGCTTCTTTATTGCTGGCAGAGCATCTTCTTTTAAAGCATTGGGGAGGGGGGGGTTCAATGGAGGCAGTGAAAGGTTGCTGAGGAGTGATGAACTTGTTTTGGGCGGCAGGGGAGGGTGGCAAGCATGTTTCAGGCAGTAGGGGATAATGAACATGCTTTGACATTCGAACTTAATTTAGAAACTCTCCAAAAATTTTATTAAATTGATATCCGATTTACAGCATTTGTACCAGCAATAAAACGAACTTATGCAATGGTTTCCCTCATGCAATTCTAAGAATGGTGAGACTTATCTGCAAAAAATTCATCCTGACAAACAAAATAAAGATTTGTTGTTTCTTCTGAACATCAAAGCCAAGTTTTTTAAGACACTGTCTGTCTCAGGATTACCAGCAGCCTCATCAAAAAAATGCAGTGATGGTTTGATAGCCCCGTATAATATATCAAAATTAATTACTGTGTCAGAGAAAGCTCATACCATGGGCATAGAGTTGATACTGCCGTCTGTCGAGGAAGTTTTAGAAATGGTGTTAGACCATCCAGCTGCATCCAGTGTTATAAAAAATTTTCTATTAAACAATGATACAGTGTGACGACGAATTGATGACATGGTGGAAGATGTTGAAGCTTTGTTATGCAAACTTTTGATGGCCACCAATTTTCTCTTCAGGTTGATGAATCAACCTTGCTGGGTACTGACGAGGTTTTACTGCTAGCGTATGTCCACTTTGTGAAGGAAGGAAAAATTATTCAAGAGATGCTTTTTTTCAAAAAATTTGATTGCAGATACTAAAATACCTTTAGTACTGTCAAAGATTATTTCTCTAAATCAGTGAGAAGTAGAAATGTTTCATGCTAAGGCTATTTTACAATACTGTACTAACCTATTGTAAGCATTAAAAAGTCCTGAAGGTAGCAAGAAGTAGCTGAAAAAACATTGGGCACACAGTGAGAGGAAAGCACACCTACATGCATTAAAGCTAAGCTCGAACTATACATTTGATACATGGATTTACATGCTTTTTTTTTTAAATAATTTTTGCTGATAGATATTTCCCCGCCACTACCAAGAGCATTTATGTAGGTTGTAACTAATCATAATGGGGTTGTATAAAGTGCTTTGGCATTATTTATAAACAGAACAGCGCCTGTGAGCCCCCTCCCCCCCAAAAAAAAGAACCAAACACTTTTTTTTAAATTTACAAAATCTCATAAGTTGGCAACTTTTTGTGAGAATGTGGATAATCAGAAAATACTGAAATGTATTTTATTTGAGAACAACAGAATAATGCATTTTTTATTTTCATTTTTAAATGAAATGTTTTTTATTTATTTAATTTCAGAAGTCTGAATTTCTTCATTATATTATTTTTTTATGTGTTTATCTTATGTTCAAATAGATGGATCACATATTTCTTAAAGCAATTAAATTAATTCTTAAATGTTTTTTATTTCAGAACCAAGATCATTATGCAGTATTAGGTTTAAAGAAAAAGCGTTTTTTAGCTAAAGATAATGATATAAAAAAGGCTTGTAAGTTTTACCAATTTTCAGTGTTGAGAAAATTTTTGTTTTTTGTATATTTTTCATTTTTACTAATAACATGTGTTTTATAGTATTAGGTAATTAGTATAATTTTTCCCTTGATTTATACAGATAGGAAAAAAGTTCTTCTTCATCATCCTGATAAGCGTCGATATGCTGGTGAAAATGTTAAAGATCTTGACCATGATTATTTTACATGCATAACTAAAGGTACATTTTTGTTTGATTCTTTTTTATTTGTTTAAATTTAACCTTATTAACCCTTTGTTGCATACAAATAATCTAGAGACGTTAAAGAAAATATTTGTGTTTTTTCTACTTAAAATAACCTTAGTAATAATAATAATAATAATAAAAAATTTTTAAAATAATAATAAAAATTCAAATTTCGTTTTAAATAATTGCTACAGTTTGTTCACTACACTGGACAGCATGCATATACGTACATGCATACAAATCTCTTCCCAACGATTTACGATCATTACATTTGAAATAATTTTCTGCCTTGTTTGCAGTGATCATTACCATCTTCTAAATGGTAAATCTACAACTGACACAACAAACCCCAAAATACCTTCATTTTCGTTGATTGTGATTGAATTCATTTTGCTATGATTTTGTAACCTGTACCTATTGGAGTCAAATGTTCTAGAAATTCCTTGCCAAACATAAACATTTCCAGCGGTGTTTTGGCTTGATAAGCTGTACATTTGGGTTTCAATTCACTCTTTTCGGTAGATCTTTATCTACCCACTCCACAATTTTCTCAAACTGACATTTAAAATAAAATGTCTAAAATTACTAATTATAAATAAAAAATGCAAGTGTAAGAAAATGTAAGCAATATTATATAATGTTTACTATGAGAAATTGTACTAACTTGGAAACGGAAGTAGCAGCCATTTTCCAAATAGCAACGCTTTACTTAGTGATGCTATACAGCCATGTATGATCAACAGTTGAAAGTTCTAATAATATAGAATGAATAAACACAGGAATGGAATCTGTTAAGGCTTAAACTTTTGTCTACTAGAGTGGACATGATGCAACAAAGGGTTAAATATTTTAGTTAAATTTTTTTTTGATATTGTATTCTAATTTTAGCTTTATTTGTCCGTGATATTATTAAATAATTATAGTTTCATAAATTGAAAATTTCCTTAGCTCAATGATGCAAACTAATCCATAATTTTATTATCAAAGTAAAATTACTTTTGTGCTGAATGTGAAGAGTGGCTAATTCCTAAATGCCAGTTGCTAGCCATTTTGTGTAAAAATCTTGCCAAACAAACCTGAAAGCTAGAGTTCCAATCACACGTTATTCCAAGCAGATGTGGCTTCATGAATTCAGTCCAATACAGACCCAAATTTTGTTGAAAACTGGTTTTCTGTCTTTTGATCAGCTTGTCTTAAGATAACAGTATTGTAGTGATACAAACTTACTTAAAGGTTATGATAGATCAGTATTTAAGCATACCTAAAAGTATATGAAAGTTCATTTAAAGTAGGATAATTATTGAAATAGTAGAATGGGGGAAGTATGATCACAAAATGGTGTGCCATCAAATTCAGAAAGGAATATTAAGTCCTATCATTATCCGTAGTATTAAATATTTTGAGTCATGTGTATTTAATATTTATCATCACATAAAAGTAATGTTCAGTGGAGTTTAGATAAATATCCATAATATGCTATACAAATATGTAATTTAAATTTGGTACTAATGAACAGTGCTGTAGATTATTGAATTTGAAATTTTGGTTACTTATTTGCATTGTGACTTGATCTTTTTTTTGCTAATATATCTAAATACGAATTTGACTCAAAAGAAGAACAATTATGTTAATTATTGATCTGGTTACTTTTATCTATTTGTGGTGACATATATATATATACATAAAACGGGTGGCCATAGTTAAACTGACAGTGCTCACAGTGTTCTGTAGCGCGATCTATTTGCGAGAATGATGCCACATTTTGTAGGAAGATTAAACAAGACGGGGGACGAAGGATTCCGCGAAAAAACAAATTAGTTCCAAAAGTCACCGCTAGGGAAATATTTGGCGCTGTGTAATAGAAAATAGAGTGTTAACAAATGCAAATTAATACGAAATAAAATTACCTTTTATTATGCACATTTTCTGATTTAGTTCAAGTGCAATAAGTCAACACTTTTAAAAAAGCGTAAAATCTACACAAACACCGATAAAGTCTCGTGAATCTGCAATATCACGTATGCTGAGCAGAAGAAGAAGAAGTTCTTTATTCAAACTTTCACGTTACATCCATTCGCACAGTGCCAGCTGCTTGGGTTTTTTAAAAGGCAATGTGTTACATTTCGAATCAATCGGATTGAAAGTTTATGTGCAATGTCTCCTTCTTTAGTCGAGCGTGCGTTACTGGTCAAATTCTTTTTCTGTTACCTCAAACCAGTGCAACGCGTCAGCCGCTCTTCGTGCTTTTAGAAACTCGCACAAAAAAAAAAAAAAAAAATGCATAAAGATAATGGTCCTGTGTCAGTTAATGGGCTAAAAGCAATGGTTGTGACGTTTGAGAAAACAGGTTTTCTGAAGGTTCAGTCAGGCACAGGACGAAAACCTGTACCACAGGATACAATCGAAGCAGTTGCCACGGCGATTATCGACAGAGCACCAGACAATATTGCTGCCACCTCTAGCGCTCGTGAAGTAGCTCGGAATATGGATATGCCTTACAGTACGGTATGGAAAATTTTACGAAAGATTATCAACTTCTATTCGTACAAGATCAGCCATGTACAGGAGTTACTGTACCCCCGATCATGATAAGTGATTGACTTTTTTTTGCTCTCACCTTTCTTGCCAGAATGGAGGTGGATGATGCTTGGCCGTGGAAAATCTTGTGGGGAGACGAGGCCCACTTTTACCTGAATTTAACTGTGAATACCCAGAACTGCCGAATTTGAGATGACAAACCACCACATGCAGTCACAGCAATTCCCTTACATTCACCAAAGGTAAGTGTTTGGTGTGGGTTCGCAGCGGAATTTATCGTAGGTCCATTCTTCTATGAGAACATTACCCCGACTGGACCGGAAACCTGTTCTGTTACCGGAGAGAAATATCGCCTCATTTTGAACAGCTTTGTCATTCCGGCGCTTCAGCAAAGACAGTGCCTGGGGGAAATCATTTTCATGCAAGATGGAGCCCCTCCACACGTTACTGTACAGGTGCAACAGATGCTACGACAGAAATTCACAAGAGAAAGAGTCATTAGCTGCATCTTTAGTTGAGCGTGTGTTACTGGTAAAATTCTTTTACCTCAACCAGTGCAACGCATCAGCCGTTCTTCGTGCTTTTAGAACGCACAAGGGGGGAAAAAAAAATCGTAAAGGTAACGGTCCTGTGTCAGTTAACCTTCCTAGTGGCCGAGACCCTCAACTAAAAACTCTTAAGTCTTGAAAAGAAACCAGATTCTATTATTTCTTCTGCCCATTCTGTATCCAGATTAATGCTAAAGGCGGCAGACGTTTCGCTGTCTTTAAAGTTGCTTTCCCCCCACTCAAATGACCGTCGTTCAGCGGGGCGTATTGACGTGTCCATGTCCTTTTGTCCAGCAGGCTCCCGTTATGGCAAGAAAGATTTAATTGAATGTATACCAGATTTTAGTGGTTATCGCCGTGTTGGCTGCGTAACTAAGCAGATTTTAAACAGCGTACGTACTTTATGAATATGTGTTTGAAATTGATATTGCTTTGCGTTTTTAGTTTTTTATTTGGAAAATTATTTACTTTATTTTTCTCCGTGTTTTACTAAAATATTTCACAAAATCTGCATAAAAATTGTAGTCATTCCTCACGCAAAAATTTATAGAAAATTACGTTTTGATTCCACCATTTGTAATGTACTTTGTATTACGTAGCATTTGTATTATGTACTCATTTGTATTACGTAGCAAGAAGAAGAATAGAACTAATAATTAGGCCCAGAGAAAAGATACGGTCATCAAAATTTTCTACTCATCGCATTATACAAATAAAAACGTACACAATTTATGTACTAAATAAAATGCATTACGTTAGCCTATAGTTTAATAAACAACTAATTTTACTTATTTTATCTTTCAATTTATATTCTAATCAATAATCTTTTCTGAATGACGTTAACATGAATATTTTCCAACGACATTGACTTGAATTATTACTAAATCTATTTGAGATGAATTTGAATTTCAAAAATGTTTCTTTACATGGTAACTTTGAACGTTGATCACAACGAATTTATATGATAGAATATTAAATTAAAAATTTTTCCTATACCATTCAGTTTTTACAAGTTCTGCATTTTTCTTTTTTTCCTACCAAAATCTTAACTTTAATTCTCAGCTTCCTATTCATCGTTATTATAAATACTTTTTTTAGATAAAAATAAAATATTCTTTGCTACATTAAGACCCTCAATGCCTTCCCCCCGTCGCTGGAGAGATTTGCGGAAAGAAAACTGTGTCATGAAGTAGAGTGCAATGATAAAAGATCGTCTAAAGTGAAAAGCCGGCACATAAATGAACTCTTTTCAGATAAACTATATTACTATCTAGATTTTTGAATGATTTTATTTATTAAAAATTCCTTTTCCATATTAAAAGTTTATAATGATGATTTTAAATCATGTACTGAAAAACGATAAATTACTTGAAATTTTTCTAAATTCGTACATACGCACAGAAAACTTCCAAAATATAATTTTTTTTCACTTTCTTTTATTAATGCTTTAAGTATTTCTAACTTAAAATGAAAATTAAGACTAAAACTATCGTGCGAATAAACGTAGAACTGAGAAGAATTTTGCCTAATTTAGTGCACTGAAAAAATCTAAAATTCAGTTTTAAGATGCTGTATTTTCAAAGTTAAAACTGTTTTTAAACATTTCCCTAAAGAAGCGTCTTTTTTTGTTATAAATTCTAGAAACACATTCTTGAACGGAAATATAGTTTCAGAATTAAATTAAAATGCCTTGAAATAAGTGTGTCTTGAATCGTGTTAGATAAAATTATATGACATTAAATAAGAAATGTTTTTTTTCTCTGTACAGTGTTAAAGCTGATGCTTTCCCGTTTTTAAAGTTGTCGCTGCTACTCCTAGGCTCCAAGACATCCGTAAATAATTAGAGAAGAGGAATGTGTAGCTGACTTAGATAAATCATAGAGTGAATGTCAGTTCGGGTTTACTTCG